TTTCGTTTCGTTTCGTTTCGTGGAAAAGACTAAGCCTTATAACAATGGCACTTTCTTTGGAACCCATCATGATGCGATAACGCGAAGTCGTTCGGGTTTCCTTTATTGCCATGCCATGCCTGAACGCGTTGTGATCGATCGGTCAAGTTGTTCCCAGCCGTCATTTTGAAATTTATAAAACATTTATTAATATTTTATATAAAACAACTTTATCTCTTTATGAAATTCAAAGAACTCCTATAAGTGGCATCAATAATTATCACACATAAATATAATATCATTGCATGCAAAACTGTGGCCCAGCCATGTTACCCAGGATGCACTCCAGTTTTATTCGAGTAAATAAACAACCAACATATACCAGTCTTATACTCGGCTGAGTCATACCTGACAATAGTGCGTCGAACTTTATTGGTACAAATAATCCAAGTTTCTCGCCTTCAATTTTTTTCCGAATTGTCGATAAAATGCCTCATTTTCTTCCTTCGAGAAATGGTTCTTCCAGTCTCCCACGGTTCCCTTCCGAAAAAATGGGGCTGATTTATGATCGTAAAACATCCGTGGAATCGATAGCCTGTCGCGACTAATATTCTTCATATTTCTAAAATCACTAGCTTCAACCACTTCGTTAAACTTATCTTCACAGACGGGCCGACCTATAAATTTCACGATTTTTCTGAACATTTTCTCAGGATCTTTCATCGTATCTTCGTAAGTTAGAAACAAAATATTGTCATCTACGTTACCTAACCAGCCCATCGCATGATCTAACCACGAACCGTATACTATATCGCCCGATAAAAAGTTTGTAACAAAATTTTCCCAAGCATTATCACCATCTAACACTCGGTAACCTTTCAGATAATGAAAGAAAGACACACAGACATCTTTAGGGTTCCTACATATATAGATAATTTTGCATCCAACGTCACTTCGGCGTACTGGAAAATAGTTGTACGGCAAGTGAGATTTAATGAGTCTTGGCGAGGGAGCTTCCAAACAATGTCTGTACCCTTCCACGCCAGGTACGGTGGGCATCTCTAGCATCGGTACTCGGCGATGTGAGTTCATTCGGCATGTCCCCCAATCTTCATACAACGATGACAATACAATCTGCAACCAGGTCGTACCAGATTTCGGAAATCCCACGATGAATACGTCATTAGTTTCCACGGGGAAATTTCTGATTCTTTCCACGGCTGTCTCGTTCAAGAACACGGGAAGTGGGAATCCATCAATACGAGTTATAGTGTTCGAGTAGGCGCCATCATGATTACAGATGAATAAATGATACAGAGGTAGTGAGAATATGGATAGCCAGTCTGTGACTATTCGAATCCACATGTAGACAGAGCGCACCAGGGGTACGGACACGACCAGTTGACGCATGTACACCACAGCAGGTAGTAGCTCCATGAAGAATTTTGTATAAACACTATAACTCTTAGAGTCAAAAGCAGCAGTCTTTAAAAGTGCGCTAGATTGAGTATATATGTATTAAGGCAAAGTTAAACATCTACTAGGCGAAGACGTCATTCATCTAACTTCAGATAACAGGTGTCCCATCGACGCGATGTCAAGAAGCGGTTGAGATATGTACGAGGTTGCTAGTGAAACAAGTGTCTGTTGGGTGTAATATGGCAACAAGGCAACATCATACGATCCCTAGGAACCAACAAACTATTTATACACTATTTAAAAAAAGCTTTGTGTGAATGCACCTTATTCTTTGGCAGCCGGCGTGACCCCTTTGTTGCGGTTAATGTTCATCTTGTTGAGTGTGTCGAACAACAAGATCTAAAAAGAAGTATATTTACGTTCACGTTTAATGCGTGGGACAGAGCATGACCGAGCGTGATATGACTTGACCAGACGTGGTTTATAACGGTTTATGATCGTTCATGGTCACAAGAAAGTACAGGCCCGCGGTTGACACAAGTTCCGAAACGCATGAGAGAGTCAAATCGTGCCCCACATGGGAACTATGCTCTCAATGACATGAGGTGACTCGATGAACTAGTCATTACATTCTTAAAGCGCGGTGGTCGTCGCGTAGCGCGTGTTCGAATTTCACGTAAATAAACAATGTATTTCCCCCGCGTTGTATACGTCGTTATAAGTCCCATATCGAACAGTACGCGGCACGACGACCGCCGCCCTTTAAGAAGACTATTTTTGTTATGGGTCATGTATATTTAAACCTGGTTCTATTTGTCCCTTTAACCCTTTAGCTTCTGTGCAAACTCTGATACCATGTTCTTACATGTGTGTGCATTTTCCATCACATTTTGTATGAACAAGGCGTATGCTATTTCTGTGACATGTTTTCGGCGCGATCGCATTTTTATGTATTTGGTAATTTTTATGCCATTTTTGATGGCGATTATATTAATGTCGCAATCACGCTATGACGTATGACGTGTTTAGACAGTTGTCAGGGTTATTTTCTTTCCTATTTTATATTTTAAAAAGTTTCCCCACAACTACCGGACCCTCTAAAAAAATGGCTACTCGAGTCGACTTTTTTTTACATAGCTAACATCCTACTATTACTTGATTACGATACGCTTCAATCAGCATTTATAACGTCTCCATTTAAAGTTACACAAGACAATTCTGTTGTACCCTGGGGTGTTTGAAACCCAAATGTTCGTTTCAACCCAGCAGCCAATCAGCGACGGCCTTACAGTTAGATGTTAATTTCATTATGTTATTATGTTTTACCGGCTTTGTGACCACCGAGCGTGGTAATATACACAGTGTTGTCACCATTGTTGGGTATTATGGAGGAGCAGGTGTTATACATACCATTCTCCGTCGCAGAGACTATGGGTCTTTTATCACTAAGCTAGGTAGTCGCCAGGGAGCGTCCCACTAGTTGCTGCTCTCTGTGGCTCCCTAGGTCAAGAAGATTATGCAAGGGAGAGTGGTGTTATACCTCACAGCTCACGATGTCACTGCAATATATATCGGCAGAAATGAAGCCGAAGATGACGATTTCAAAAATGCAAAATCCCAAGTGCTTACATTGGGGGAATATGCGTGGTATTTTTGAAGGCAAATTGAGCTAACATGTCCAGCAATTATTCTTACAGACTCGTCCGTAATAATATACCACACTTTAGGGTTAGATCAACATTATTTATTCACTTCTCGCGAGATCCAAGCTTTGACAAAGAAAATTTGATAATGGACTACATGAACATATGGCACGAATAATGCATGAAAATATATCATACACATAAAATAATGGTTAAATACATATGTCACGTAAATGTCACGATAATAGTACAGTCATACATCTGTGATCAAAACACCTGTACACCATTGCCAAATAATTTTAAAATGTCATAGACATTGTATAAATATGTCATAAAAACGTACAATAATATGCTTACCATAAAAAAGATATAAACGTTGTCAGATAATACCAACAATCATGGACATTGCAAACATATATAAGAAAATAAATTACGAACAAAGAGTTGCATGATCATTGCCAACAAATTTTAATCAAATCGCTCAAAACCGACGTGCACCAGTAACCTGCCATGTCATGTTAGATTGAAGGCCGTACAGGCATTACTGTGAAACTGTTGATGGCATGTTCTAATGTTGATTTTTGTTATTTTTTTGTGTGCCAGGAATGGCCGCCAGTTGGCTAAATTTTATGGAAATCCAAAAATAACTGAAGACAACGTTCAATCTATTATGTCTTGACTAAGCAACAACGTCAAATCTGTAGACATGTCTCTGAGAAAGGAACAGAAAACGTGTAAAAAATGGTCGTCAGTTGGTCATTTCGCGAAACAAACAGAATATCGTTCGCCAATAACACACCATGATGGCCGAACACGCAACGCAAGTCGATCATTTCGATTAAAGGCATAGCTTAGAAACAGTTGTTGACATGCGAAAATTTTGTGATTTTATTTTTATTGAGAGAAAATGACTGTCAGTCAGGATACTGGCTTAACGTTACTAGTTACGGAATAAGGCGTATTCATCATTGGACGCAAGCCAATGTAAATTGTCAAAATATCCCTACCCATACACTCAAATAAAATTTGAATATTTTTGTCCGAACTGTCCATACTCGACACAACAAACCATTCCCTTAATTTTTATATCAATTTCAATGGCAGCTGAATCCGAAAAGCCATTCAACGAGCGCAGCGAGTAATGACGTCATTCGAAAATGGTTCAATGTTACTCCACCTGTCAACGAAAACATTTCGTTTCAGTTAACTATAAAAAATAAAGGAAATGGATTTGTTGTATGAATAGTACTGTAATTGTTGGAATAATTTGCTGAACCTACACATTGTTTTTTAAATACTCGTCGTTATTTTTTTTGCCAAATCTTTCAATTATTTTTTAATTTTAGAACGACTTTCACAAAATCCCCCAGACCCCCTAATTTTCAAATGGCCGAAACCTGGTGTATGGCAAATGTGACCCAACCTTGGGTGAAAAGGTTTGACCTGCAGTGACTCGCATTGAATGCACTCTAATGTTCGTCTAAGTAAACATAAATGGATACCGACCTACACCGTTTGTATTCTCTGCTTGGTTACGCCAAGCAATATATCACCGTTTCAATGTTTGATGAACTTCATTGGTACAAATAATCCAAGTTTCTCGCCTTCAATTTTTGTCCGAATTGACGATCAAATGCGTCATTTTCTTCCTCTGACAAATGGTTTTTCCAGTCTCCAACAATTCCCTTGCGAAAGAATGGAGCTTTTTTATGATCGTAAAAAAATCTTGCCATTGACAGCTTTTCGCGACCGATATTCTTCATATTTCGAAAATCACTAGCTTCAATCACTTTGTTAAATTTATCCTCACTTACGGGCCGACCTATAAATTCAACGATTTTTCTGAACATTTTGTTAGGGTCTTTTTTCGTATCTTCGTAAGTTATAAATAAAATATTGTCATCTACGTTATCTAACCAACCCATCGCGTGATCCAACCACGAACCGTATATTATGTCTCCTGTTAAGAATTTTTCAATAAAATCATCCCAAGCACTGTCTCTTTTCAACATGTGA